GTATCTGTGGTTTATATAGTTCGTGTGTAGGTAGCGAACAATTTTTTTTCCTTCCTTTTTTTGGTATTTCAACTACTTAAATAATGCTCTGTTTGTTATTAATAGGAGTCAACGTTCTCATCCGAATCTGGTTTTTAATAGTTTTGTAAAATAATGATAGTTGTATTAATCATTTAATGTCAAGTCTTACTTATATTTAAATGTAAACGGTTTGCATTCATGTTAATTTTTATATAGGTATATTAAATATTTTAGATATTTGATTAGTATGCACACGGTACAACACGAGATATCATCAAAATATCAATCACATCAATCAAAAAGTATAATGAGAAGGGTATTGATGTTATTGATAGATGTGTTCTATTTAATTAGGAATACAAAAGAAACAGATGTGTTTAGGTAGTCTTCTCAACTTGAATGAGTGATTTAAGTTCGTATCACTTTAATGTTATGTTAATTATTTATTTAAAATTTAAAAGTATTTATTTGATTTTTGAGAATACAAAAGGTGCTTTGGGAAAACCAATAAATGTCTAGTAATAAGTAAACGTATTGATTGAAAAAACGTTAATAGCTTTCTGGATAAGAGGATATGAAACGGTAGCAAATGTAATAAATACTTTGTTAAGTAGTCAAGTAAGAAACGTCATTATGATATTATAATATATTGGCTGGATTGTGAATAATGGTTTAGGGCAAATTTAATTTGGTTGATTAAAAAAAATAATAATAATTGATTTATCTTAACGTGTTACTTGAGGTTGTAAACAAATTTATCATAACAGAATAAAGAAATTAGATCAAGAGATGATAATTGTTAGATTATACAAGTTTTAGAGTAAAAATAACTTCTATATATGTACAAAGTTGTGTTAACAGTTAATATTATGAAGATTAATTATTTAAACTTAAAATTTATATTAAGTTCATTTTAACGTTTGACATTAACCGGTAAATTTTTTTCTCACAGTATATGATTCTTTGCAGTCAAGATGATTAATCTATCTAATGTACTTATATAATTATTATTAGTACTGATCCAATGTGTGAAGATGGAAGAATTAAATAAAAAAATAAGGTGTTATCATGGAGCACAATTTTCAATCAATTAATGAGTACACTAAAATCAAGATAAAATTGAATATAGAGAATAAAATTTTATTATAAAAAAAATAAGTACATCGCCTTTTCGTACTGTGAAGTGGGTTTGGACAATATAGTCTTTATTTTTATTTTTCTTATAGTTGTTCAATTCCTCTAGTGCATATGCATACTCTCTTTTGTTTAGGTTATAAATAATATCCATGGTAGATTTCATGATCTGTAACATCTGGTCAACGACTTCTCTGAATTTGTCTCGTGCAATATGTAGATCATCCAGATTGTTCTTAACTTTTTTGAAAATCTCCCTTAATTCCAGCATTTCCTGAAAAATGTCTAAAACAATTGCAAAAACAATTTACAATCAAATTTTATAAATATATGGAAACGGTAACATGAATGTGTAAATATAATTATGAGATGAATTCTCGACATATCAAAAAAATTATTTTTTTAATGGTTTTTATATTGCGGCAAATATGTATCATCGTTTTGTTTGCGATTTTGTAATATATGATACAAAAGATGTGCAATATTTATACCTTCTGGTTGTTTCGATGGAGAACTATTGTTGTTGTGGTCATTGCTGGAATTCATTGCATATTCTTTTGGTTGTGATGTTTTGTCAGCCATTTTCAAATTAAGTTTTGGAGAAGAAATGAACAGTTAAAGTGTATAGTATCTGAAGAAAGTTAAATGGGTGATTGATGTTAGAGCATTTATAGGAGAATAGGATACAAAAAGGTGGAATATGAGCAGATAATTAGTACTAAATAAACGCATCAATCGAAAAAGTGTTAATAATTATTTGGATAAGGTAATACGGAATATTAGTATACTATTCATACAATATTAAAGAAAACCGTAATAAATATTTTGTTAAGTGTGCAGCATATTTGTTAGATAGTTAATAATGGTTCAGCAAGATGTTGAGTTATTATGATAAACAAACAATGTGATCTAAGCCAGAGATGATATGACAATGTCACAATATATTTATTAATTTTTTAATTGCGGTTCGGTAATATGGTTATGAAACATGCATATAGTTCGACTTTGATCTTGTTTGATCAATAATGGTACAATTTTTTTTTTTAAACATGTAATAGAAATGGTTATTTCTAGTTTTTTTTTTTTTTTTAATTAAGATTATAATATATTTAGATTGATGTTTATTATTAATAGGAGTCAATATTGTTATCTAAATCTGGTTTTGAGAATACCAAAGGTTCTTTGGGAAAATAAATAAATGTCTAGGAATAAGAAAACACGTTGATTGAAGAAACGTTAATAAGTTCTTGTATAAGAGGATACGAAACGGTAACAAACATAATAATTATTCTGTTAAGTATTCAAGTCAGAAATGTGATGATGATATTATAATATATTGTTTGTACAGTGAATAATGGTTCGCCAATCGTGCTTCAAATGAATGTTATCATTTAGCATGGGATTTAAATTGGTTCGTAATAGAATCGAAGTTTTTTTCAATGTGCGATAGGACTGTTTATTTATACATTTTTTTTTAATTTACATTATAATATATTTAGATCGATGTTTATCAAGTATGTGTAGACAATCCAATGATAAAATTGAATATAGAGAATAACACTTTTATTGAGATATTTTTACATGTGTAATAAATAATATAAAGAGCTCACTAAAAATTATATTTCATACATACTATTTGGTAATCTACATTACATCTTGGACATGTGATATTTTCTGGTGACGTTGATCTAGTCCAATGTATACNCCAAGTTGTCACCAAACAACCTTGACAAGTGAGATCAGTCACTGCCTTTTGACAGGGTCGTTCAACACTATGATAGCCTTACCGTATTATCTGTGCCCTTACTTCAGAATAATACTGGGGCTACGGACGTTTCTAGAATGGGCACCATATGTGCTCATAGGGTTCTCACTATCAAGATTTGAAACACTTGATACCGTCGTCACGGTTCTACCATTCTAAGGACATATATCAATACATATTGCAATAATAATGATTTATGCGATATAGAATAAAATGCCTTTTATTGATTAATAAACATTATTACAAAGAGTCAATTCCACAATAATTGATTGGCTCTAGGGCACCTACTCCAACATTAGCGTGGGATTTAAATTGGTTCGTAATAGAATTGAAGTTTTTTCGATGTGTGATAGGAATGTTTATTTATAGATTTTGTTAATTTACATTATAATATATTTAGATAGATGTTTGTCAAACATGTGTAGACAATCCAATGATAAAATTGAATATAGAGAATAACACTTTTACTGAGATATTCTTACATGTGTAATAAATAATATAAAGAGCTCGCTAAAAATTATATTTCATACATACTATTTGGTACTTTACGTTACATGTGATATTTTCTGGTGACGTTGATCTGGTTTAATGTATACGATTTTGATTCTCTTTGTCGCAAATACGAAATATTCTCCTTTTAATGAGAATTGTCGCAGTTGTAGTCATGGACTTGAACACTTCCCTGTAATTTTCAGTTTGTGTAATTGATTGGTTACTTTCACTAATTTCATTAGAATATTTACACCTCTACTATCATGCATAGTGATTAGAGCAACATCGGTTTGATACATTGCTTGTTGGTTATCTTGTTTGCAAGATGCAATCAGTAGTTGTAGTCCTGTGTTTCTATCATGTTCTATGAAGAACAAATGCGTTCCAAGCAGTAGTGAAGCATGGTTATTTTCTACTTCTACAAGGATCTTCAGAATTGAAAGCCCTGCAGTTTTTATTGCTAGTATTTGTGTCGTTGTTTGAAGATGTTTCTTCTATGTAAGACTTGCTTTACGTTTGACTGTTGGTTTAGACACTTGCACCTGTAAATTGTAAATTAAATAGTGGTTTTCAAACACAAAATCCATAATAAAAAAAAAAAAGTGTTTTCCAAACACAAGATCCACCAAAAAAAAAAAAAAAATGGTGTAAATAATAGTTTCAAACAGTTGGTAATCATAATATCATTACTTGTATGATGAAGAAGTTAACAATAAAAAAGTGTGAAAAATATGGTTCGGTTAAATATCCATTCTAACATGTATTTTGGTTTTTATATATTAGAAAGTTGTTAATAATTAAAGACACAAGTGATTCTGCATAATCTGTTTCAATTGTTGGGAGTCGACATACGGTTTTCTATATGACTAACAAAACAATGAAATTAACATATTAACAAAACATGATGATATTAGTAAAACTTACGTTAATCGTATTGCTTGAAGAGTGGTGTTGTTATTCTGAATTGCTTTTGCAATGATTCAATGCAATATTTGTGACCATAATTGTAACATGTTTTTGTTCTTTTGTAAGGAATCATGCTGTTCTGGTGGTGTTTTTATCAATGTAAGTATATTGAAATAATAAATTTGTTATGGTATTAGTGGTTTATATAATTTTTGTGTAGATATTGGATAGCGAACAATTTTCTATGTGTTTGGATTTGGTAGATATTATCATGTTAATTATTAATGAGAATTAGCGTTGTTATTTTCAAAACTCGTTTTTAGTATTTTTCTAAATTAATGATGGTATTTTTATTTTGTTGAACATTAATTATTCGATTTTGTTATAAATATAAGATATTGTTCCTTCATTGTTTATTCTATTCAACGAATATAAACTTTTTTGCTCATAATCATTTAATGTTAAGTATTCATTTATCTTAAGTGTAAACGGTTTGCATTCATCTATATCCCTACATAGGTATATTAAGTATTTGATACATTTGATTAATACAAATCTTTTTAAATTCATATAACTTAATGTATTGGATGATATTTTTTGCATAGTACATGAATTATGTGCATATCTTATGTAGGTGTCTGATGCTCTGAAAGTTCTATGAGATAATTGGGCAACTGGTTAAATGAAAGAGGGTGCCTCTACTGTAAGAAGATGGAAGGATCTGGACACTGACTTATTGGTGAAAATCTTCCTATGTTTTGATGTTTTACAGTTGACTTTAGGCATTGCTCACGTTTGTAATTCATGGCATTCAGCTTGCTGTGATCCTCTACTTTGGAAAACTCTTGATTTGTCAATGTTGAGATCAAATTTTATCAAAATCCTATTAGAGTCATATGTTTATGTGGATGAATTTTCTGATAAGGCATTGACTTGTTTGTTGAAAATTTCGTTGAGTCTTAGTAGGGGACAGATAAGAACCTTGATTTTTCACTTCAATTTGTATGCAGGGGACGAACAATTTACTTATATTGCTGAAAGGTAATTTTTTTATGTTTCTGTTTAAAACCTTGTTGAAAGGTAATTTTGTTTTTTTATTCTCACTGTTTATTGACCGAGTCTTTGGCATTGCCTTGGGTACCAGTGACCATCACCTTTAATTTTCTTTTTGGTACAATGAATTGGGAAGTAACGCACCATATATTGTTGTTTGCAGGTGCCCCCATCTGAGGCATCTCGTTATGCCAGCTTGGAATAGAATAAAGAAGGATGTAATTTGCAAGGCCATTCGTACATGGAGATCTCTCAAATCCCTGACAATGCCTAGTATAGTAAATCCGCCTTATCTTATAAAGGAAATAGCTGTAAATTGTAAGAACTTCAATGAACTCAAGATCATGGGTCCTTTTGATGTTCTCTTTGCTTCTATGATAGTCAGATTTCTTCCAAATTTAAAGGTTTTGAGCTTGAGATGCTCATCGATAGTTAAGGATGCCCTATTGCTTATATTGGATGACCTACCAAATCTGAAAGTCCTCAACATATCACATAGTCTTCTTATAGAAGGTCCACTTCTTTCTCCAGTGATGCTCGAAAAAATTATTAAGAAGCCAGATAAAATTATCTTGGAAAAGGCTGCTCGATTACGTGAGTTCTTAACATGTATTGAGCACTCGTGCATCATGTGCCAGTGTACTCGAAGTGATGAAGGCTTTATGAGGTGGTACAAGTATGAGGAAGGTCTATCGAAAATGGATGAGGCAAGGTCTCTTGCTCTTTGATTAGGATGCTGTAGAGATTGTAATTTTAATATTTTGTTTTGCTTGTATGTAATATATAGATAATATGTTGTTGAATAAGCATATATAGAATTGGTCTGTTGTGTTTTAGGTTTTCATGCTCTTAAGGCTTTCGTTTTAGGTTGTTAACATTGTAATACTTGCATGATGATCTTCTCCCATGGGAAAAGTATTATCTGTCAGCATAATTATGTACACATGTTAAAATTTTACTTTTTGTTGTTTCAAATTTATCTTTCGTTATTCATTAATGTTATTTCAAATGAATTGGTTTCAAACTAATACACAATTGAGTATTTTATATATTTCAATTCATGTTATTTATTTTGTAATTGTTATTGTGGAGTTCTTTTCTATTGTCAGGTTTAGTATTTGATCATGAGATTTTGAAGGAATCTTTGAGTTTCGCTTCTTTTATACCTTGATGATAAGTTATAGTGACATTGTTCGGCTGAAGTGGTAATATTAAAGTTTTACTGTGCACTGTCGTTTTGGCTTTGTAAAATTCGTAACATTGTCATTTAAAATGTTGTTGATACTTAAAGAAAACATGCGGAATTAATAGGTCATATAATATTCGGGTAGTCTTCTCAATTTACATGAGTGATTTAATAACATCTGTCTACGATTGATATTAATAATTATAAAGGTATAATTATTAATCTTAACATCTGGTCAATGATTTCTCTGAATTTTTGTTGGTATCATTTTAATATTATATAAAATATTTATTTAAAATTTAAAATTATTTATTTGTTTTTTGAGAATATAAAAGTTGCTTCGGGAAAACAAATAAGTGTTTAGTAATAAGTAAACATGTTGATTGAAAAAATGTTAATAACTTTTTGGATAAAAGGATACGAAATGGTGGCAAACGTAATAAGTATTTTGTTAAGTATTCAAATTAGAAACGTCATGATGATATTATAATATATTGGTTGGATTGTCAATCATGGTTCGGCAGCTGTGCTCCAAATGAATGTTATCGTTTGGCGTGGGATTTAATTTGGTTGGTAATATAACGGAAGTTCTTTTCGATCTGCTATCGGATTACTTATTAATAGATTTTGTTAATTTATATTATAATGTATTTAGATTGACGTTTGTCAAACATGTGTAGACAATGCAATGAATTTTAACTTGTATTTTCAAAACAAATTAAAAAGCATTTAAATTTTTACATGTGTAATAAATCATATAAGGAATGAACTAAAAATTATATTTCATACATACTATCTGGTAATCTATGTTACATCTTGGACAAGTGATACTTTCTGGTGACATTGATCTGTCCCAATGCATACGATGTTGCTTATGTTTGTCGCAAATCCGAAACATTCTTCTTTTAATGAGAATTGTCGCAGTTGGAGTCATGGATTTGAAAACTTCCCTGCAATTTTTCAGTCTGTGGAATTGATTGCTTAGTTTCATTAATTTCATTAGAATTTTTATACCTCTATTGTCGTGCGTAGTGATTAGAGCAACGACAGTTTGATACATTGTTTGCTTGTCATCTTGTTTGCAAGTTGCAATGAGTAGTCGTAATCCTCTATTTCTATCATATTCCATGAAGAACAAATGTGTTCCAAGTAGTAGCGAATCATGCTTATTATCCGCTTCTGCAAGGATCTTCAAAATGGAAAGACCTGCTATTGTTATGCTGGTAGTTTGTATCATTGTTTGAAGATGTTTCTTCTATGTAAGACTTCCTTTATGTTTGTTTGTTTGTTCGTTTAGAGATTTGCATCTGTAATTTGTAAGGTATATAATGGTTTTCAAATGCAAGATCCACAATAATAATTAAAAAAAAAAGGTTTTTTCTGTAACTCCCCACTTGAGGTACGTAGTTAATGCTTCTTCTTTTGCTCTTTTTGAGTTGATTCATTATTGTTGGGTTGGCCTTTGAGTGATATGTTGAACACTTGCCTTGATATTGGTTGAAAATAGAAGAAGTTTAGTGTTTCAGTCTTCGCCGGGGCGAAGAAGAATCTTCGCCGCGGCGAAGAGGTGTTGAAGCCACGGGGAAGCTGCTGGACAGTTTCACCGCAGGCGAACAGAAGCTCCTCGCCGCGGCGACATGCCGACCAATTGTTTGTTAGTTTTAGATATTTTCTTCCCTAAGGGCAATTCGACCAATCTACCCCTAATTAGCAGAAAAGTGGGGAGTAAAATGTAGAATTTTCATGAAGATAGTTTGTTATGGGGTGTGTTTGTAATGAATCAAGGATATAAATAGAATTCCCAAAGAAGAGTAAGGGCAAAATGGGAATGCTTGTGTATAAATTTCATTAAAAGGAATTAAGTCATTGCAAACCTTTCATTCTTCTTCTCATCCTACTTTCTCTCTTACTACTTCCTCTCAATTTCTCTTTCTTTTGATCAAGGAGTTTTGAAGGGCTTTTGGAGTGATTGGGGTAGAAAATCAATCTAGGGCATCCTAAGGTAAGATTCTTGCTTGGTGTGTAAGCTTTGTGAGTTTTTGAAAATATTTGATTATTGAGGGTTTTTGTTCTTGTTTAAGAGTAGAGAAAAGTCAAGCAAACCAAGTGAAAGGAAGGCTAGTGAAATCTCTCCATAACAAGGTAAGTAAATCCCAACCCAAGTTGAGATTTGAGAATTTTCTTGATTAAGTTTTGATGCATTATGTATTGTATATTGTATACATGTTATATGCCATGTTATTGAGTCTAAATGGAGATTTCTAGTGCTTGGTGATTGTTTATACATTTCAAATATAAAGTGAGATGTGGGTTGGAAAGGTGTTTGAGATGGAATTGAAGGATATTAGGAATCCTTTTTGGAGTGTCTTTCTTTGGCAGGATTTATGGCTATGTGAGGGGTTTCTCCCCATTTTGGATGGTTAGAGAAAGACTTAGAATTATTGTTATAGTAGAGTTTTATTATGCACTTGAGTTGTTTGATGAAATGCCTAATAGAGGTTTGAGTATGAGTAGTGAACCTTAATTCTTGCAACATTACATGTTGGCATTTCATAAGTGCATTAGTGGAGATGAACCATCCATAGGCATTAATTGTGCATTGAAGTGACCTGAGAAAGAGTAGGAACTTTTGTGTATGCACTTGCTCTTTGAGTAGAACCTTGTGGATGCAACTACTCTAAGGGTAGAGAGAATGAGAAGTGCTAGAGTAGAGTGATGATGAGAGTAGTAGAAATGGGTTGATGTTTTGTATCATCACCACATTTATGAGAATCGGTTGATGCTTTGTGATCATCACTCGACTACCCATTAGAAATGGTTGATGCTTTGTAATCATCACCCGTAGGTAGTAGAAACGGGTGGATGCTTTGTGATCATCATCCGGTTAGTTTTAGAAAAGGGTTGATGCTTTGTGATCATCACCGGACATTTATTAGAAGTGGGTTGATGCTTTGTGATCATCACCCGACAGTGATTAGGAACGGGTTGTGCTTTGTGATCGTTATCCGAAAGTCATAAGGAACGGGTAGGTGCTTTGTGGTCTCCACCCGATAGTTACGAAAACTGGGTACGTGCTTCGTGATCCCCACTCGGTAGTCACTAAGAACGGGTTGGTGCTGTGTGAACTCCACCCGACAGTCATGAAGAGTGAGATGGTGCTGTGTGAACGCCATCCGGCCGTGTCTCCGGTAAGATGAGGTCATGACATTTAGTAGGAAACAACAGAAAATGTGAGGAAAGAATTAAGAGAAATACATACGGGGATAAACAGATAGAGGGTTTTACTTACTGAGCATTATTTTGTGCTCACCCCATTATTTTCCTTTGTGGATGCAGGATCTAGGTGATGATGCAGTCGGAGGGGCGTCGGCAAGCGAGGAGCAATAGCTACACTGTTTTCCCTGTTTTTGTCTTTTACAATGGCTTTTTGTAAATGATGCTCTTTGTGTATAAAAGACGTATCACTTATAATAAAAAGAAAAGTTTTGGGCCCATTTTCTATTGTTATTATGCATGCATTGTACTAGATTACAGCAGTTGTTACATTTTCCAAACAGAAGATCCATAACAACAAAAAAACAAAGTATAAATAATTGTTTCGGGAGTTGGTAATCATAATATCATTACCTGTAGGATCAAGAAATTAACAATTAAATTTTTTTAAGAAAACTGTAATAGAAAATTGTTAAGAACTAAAGACACAAGTGATTCGGCATAATTGGTTTCAATTATTGGAAGTTGAAATACGGTTTTTAGTATGACTAAGGAAATAATGAAATGAACAAATTAACAAAGTGTGATGATATTAGTAAAACTATATCAACCATATTGCTTGAAGGGTGGTGTTGTTATTCTGAGTTGCTTTTGCAATGATTTGTTGCACAATTTGAGATGGTAATTGTAATAGATTTGTGAGTTGTGTTTTCGTTCTTTTGTAAGGAATCATGATGTTTTGGCAGTGTTTTTTTTTTTTTGGGTGTAAGTATATGAAATTTATGATGTTATTATGGTCTTAGTGGTTTATATAATTTTTGTGTGGGTACTGGATAGCGAACCGTTTTCTGCGTGTTTGGATTTGGTAGATAATATTGTGTTAATTATTAATTTTGAATATGTTTTATTTTTTAACATTTTTATAAACAGTTTTACCTAATATTGTTATTAAATGTCTATTAAAATATTAAATATTGTTTATTTTTTTTCCAGTATTTTAGTTTTCTAATTAAAATTTTGTTACTTCACATTAGAATATATATTGACTTGTTTTATCTAAATAGAAATAGAAAATAAACGGGTGGAATAAATTTGAACTCATGTTTTATGCGAGAATTTTTGTTACAATATAACAGTTGCTCTAGGAAAATTAATAGACATTTAATAAAAGATAGGCACGTTGATTGAAAAAGTGTTGACAACTTATTGGGCGATGAGACATGAAACGGTAGCAAATTGTTTGTAACGCATGAAAGGAAAGTGTAATCAGTAGTATTTTTGTAAATTAATGATGGTATTTCTATTTTGTTGAACATTAATTATTTGGTT